GAGAGAGAGAGAGAGAGAGAGAGAGAGAGAGAGAGAGAGAGAGAGAGGGTCACACACAATCTGACACTGAGTTTTGTACGCCAAACTCGGTGCCAGATAGTGGAGAGAGTTGCCGCAGCACTCTCGAAATGTGCAAAATGAGAATGAACTTGCAGTGAAAACACGGGCAGATGCACCCATCACATTTTGTTTTTTTCACATTTCGAGAGTGTTGTGGTGACTCTCTCTCTCTCTCTCTCTAATACACACATACTCAACGCCCCACCGATAATGAATGACTCTTCCTCTATAAAGAGGGAGTGGAAGATTTATTCATTTTCGGTAGGGCGTTGAGAGAGAGAGAGAGAGAGAGAGAGAGAGAGAGAGAGAGAGAGAGAGAGAGAGAGAGAGAGAGAGAGAGAAAAAAAAAACAGAGAGAGAGAGAGAGAAACAGAGAGAGAGAGAGAGAGGGCCTCAGACACAGTCTGACGCCGAGTTTGGTGTGCCAAACTCGGCGCCAAACAGTGAAGAGAGTCGTTATACCACTCTCGAAATGTGCAAAATGAGAAGAACTTGTCGTGAGAACACAGACAGATGCACCCACTACCTTTTGTCCTTTTCACATTTCGAGAGTGGTGTGGTGACTCTCTCTCTCTCTCTCTCTCTTCCCCCACCTACCCCACCTGCCGCGCCCGTTTTTCTTTCCGTTCGTTTTTGTCGACGTTTTTCATTTTTGTTTTCCGTTTTTTCGGGAATACTTGTCTGTCGTCCCATGGTACCCTGCCTGATGCGGCGCGTCGTTTTTTTTAGTTGGGTGAGGTACTGGTGGCTTAATGAGTAGGGGTGTGAGGAGGTATGAGAAGTTTTACTTATTAGACTGTTGAAGTCTGAGGCAATACAGCATGTCGGCCACTGCACCCGCGTGAGAGTTCTTCAACCGTCCGATAGAGGGGAAGATTTATCTTGGCTGTCACAACTTCACTTTAGAGTTAATTATGTAGACCTTTCTCATTACAGGAAAACAATATATCTGAATGATTAAAAATAAGCGAGCAATATTCAGTCGAAATAAAAGTGGGGTTTTGACCCACTAGTTTTCAAATTCGTGGATGGCGTTCCAAGTAATGATCTTGGGAATTGTAGAATATAGGAAGCAGTGATCTCAACGTGAGTCGCACTTTAGGATTGGTCTATCGCAAGTATCTAAAATACAATTTTACATACATTAGGACA